AAAACAAATCAGAAAAAAAGGGACAAGTATCATCCAGAGTTAAATTCCAAACTCAATCATAACCACAAGTTTAAATTGAGTAAAACTTTTATTTTTTTAACTATTTTTATAAGAAAGTAATTAAGTAATAACCATAATCTAGTAAGAAAATACCATAAGAGATATTCTCTTTGCCTCTGTCACACGCTCTAACAACATCAAAACTTCCTCTTCCTGAGCAGAAAACTGTGGTAGCTTTTTCCCTGCCATATTAAAAAAAGCCAGTTTTTATATAAATAAAAGACATCTATTATTTTATGTTTTTCTGCAAAAAAAAATTGGTCATTCATCACTTACCAATGAGCTTCTCTATCTGTATATACCACTCTAACTCGTACTGATTAACCAATGAAATCGCAATCCCAGAACGACCTGCTCGAGCAGTTCTTCCCACTCTATGTATGTAGTCCTGCAGACAAAGTCATCTTTTAATTACCTCAGCCAAAGTAAAAAGTATCATTTCCATCAAGTCTCAAACATTTAGATTTTTAGTTTAGGTATTCAATGAAGCTATTCTTCAAAATATATCCAGAAAAATGTAAATAGAAGAGTATTTCAACAGAAGATAAAATATTAGAAACTCGGATCCTTGTAAAATTATTTTGGTAATGGTAATTTTCTTAAAGGAGTAAGGCGGTGATATCGCTAAAATAAAGAACTACAAAAGGATGACAGATCCAATCCTTAACGCCACCTAATTCCACTACAAAAAGGTTAAATTGATTTGACGATATTAATACCAAACCAACAAGTTTTTTTATGAACCAAGAGAAAACCATTAAAACAGTTTAAAATCTTTAAAACTTGAACTTGTTTTTGGGGAGTTAAGTTTTTTTTGCTTAAAATAGATCTCGTGTGATTTTCGTCTAAAAAATGGTCGTGTTTGGATTTCTGATTTTGCTTTTGAATTTTCAATTTAATTCTTTTTCTCAAAGATGAGAGATGTAGGCCCTCTCTTTACCCACTCTAAGCCCTTGTACTACTCCATTCAACCCCGTTATTGATCAGTCTACTCTACCCAAAACATCTCCCACGAAAACAAAAAGAGAAGGAAATAAGGGAAAAAAGAGTTAAGTTTCTTCCATGAGATCTCACCAACAAACCAAAGGAATCCAGAATTCAATATTTTTGCCTCCAAACACACACGACAACATCATTAACATTCGTAGTGAGAATAATGTACCTTAAAAAGGTAAAAGTAGTAGATTCTTCAATTTAAACTTTAACACAGAAAACAAGGAAGAAGTCTTTATGACTATAAACTCCAGAATGAAACCTTTGCAGACTACATCAAAAAGTCTTGGACTCAGAAGGCCATGGAAGAAAGGGGAAAATAGAGGGAAAAGAAAAGCCCAAGTCAGAAAACAACTCTTAAACAAAATATTATAGAGCATGTAGTTGTTGAATTTGAATACTTGGGAAAAGATGGAAGAATACATCAAAATCAACACAAACAGCAGAAGGAATAGAAACTACAATGATGCATTGTCAACCAAAGTACTTAGAACTGTAAAGGAGAACCTTGGAATTGGAAGGAATGTCATAATTTATGACCATATCCACAGATGGAATATCAAGTCCCCTGCTAGCTACATCAGTGCAGATAAGAACGTTGCACTCTCCAGCCTTGAACTTATTTAAGGCTCCTAATCTCTTTGCCTGTCAAAGACACGGGAGTTAAATTTTTTTAATAAGACAGTTTTGTCGATAAATGAAATTTACAAATAGGCTTACAACTATTTTCTCAACTTTCAAATATTTTATACCCAGGGAAAAGAGTTGAAAACCACCCAGTTATATCTCAATAATACCTGAGTCATCTGACCACTTATTGGAATGGCTCTTAATCCAAGATTTCGAAGAACCAATGATAGAAGGCGAGTAGCATCACAAGTGCGAGTGAAAACCATAGATGTGCAACCGGACATCTCAGTTAAGATGTAGACAAGATAACACTCCTGTACAACATAGTTTAATAAAGTAAATCCAAGAGTACAAAAAATGTGTTTCCCTTCACAAGTTAAAACACCAATCCCTCTCCCCCCGGTAACTAAAAATGTATTTCCATTCAATAACAGAAACACATAGCTTTTTCTTGTTGTTGTTGCAGAGGACTGCCCATCAAATAGTAAGTTAGTAACTTAGTTCGGCTTTTTTTTATTCTTCCATCTTTTATTTGAATCAATGAAAGCTTGGTTTTTTATTTAAAAAGTAAAAAGAAAAGAAAAACAAACAATCACGATCGGGGAATGCATAAAGCCTCATCCTCACCCAATTATCTACCATGCCCCCAAAAGAATCCAAAAATGTTCCTTTCTAATCATCCAGATATACCAGACAAAAGATAATCATTCAAATATCCCATAAAGGGTATGAACCTAACAATATATAGCAATGATGAAAGTGGAAACTGAGAAAGTAGCAAGTAAAAAATTGGAAGCTAGAAATGAATGTTCCTCTCTCACAAATTAGGCAAATTACTCAGGCAAGAGAACTCTTCAAATGCAATAAAGTTAACCAACTAGCCCACCTCCAGTGTGAAAAATGGCCAAAATTAGTTACTCAAAATATACCGTTTTGTGTGCCAGTTAGTTTAAGCACAAGATAACAATGTGTAGTTTTCCAACAGTATGGGAATAAAAAATGACAACAGCAAAGGGTGAAAATAAAAGAAAAGAGGGATAAGCATCAAGATGAAATTCCTTTTTCTCCCTAACAAAAAATATCCAAGTTATGAACTCTTCAGAACAAGGAAAAAAGAAAAAAAAAATGTATCCTTTAAAAATGCAAAATTGACATAATTAGACTGACACAACCAAGAAGTAGCAAAACCTTATACTTTGCAGGAATAAAACAATATTGCTGCTTCAGTGTGTCTACAGTGGAATATTTGGTTGCCGCTTCAATCTGAAAGAATTCAAGATCAAGGAAAACTAAGACTTGAACAAACTCAGGAAATGAAAAATAGATATTTGATCATCATAACCATACCTTAACAGGATTCCTTAAGCAAGCCCTTTGAAGTTTCCGAACCTGTAGTATTATCTCAACTTGGTCAGCAATTTTAACACTTACAAAACCCTCAAAGTAAAACTACCAGTTACTGAAAACTACTTGTTAACATTTAGATATGATGTCTATCCATCCAAAGAAAACGATTTGATACTGGTAATCAATATTTGTAAAGGAACTGAAGCACTTGAGGACTATTTTAAAATTATTAGAATTACATATAAAAAATATACCATTATGATTATGATTAAAATATAGCATATGATAATGAGATAATAAAAAACTAAAGAAATGAGGAAGCTCTATGAGATTGTGATAGAAACACCCCTTCTATTATTGATATTTAGAAGGCATTACAAGGGCAGAATTAGAGAGTTCTGGAGCCTCTCGACCCTCTCCCAATACAGTCCTAGATAAAATGGCAAAAAGATACCTCTTGCCTCACTATTCAGGGTTATTTACCCTTTTTTACAAAATACCCACACCGCCTTTACGTGTATTGTGGGCCCATATCCTTAATGGTGTCCCTCTCCTACATCATGCTCCCACATCCCCCTCTTCCTAGAACAATCTTTCTTCACCAGGGGCCTATCACTTCCCCACCCTCATAGATACACGTTGTCCTCAAGGTTGAAATCCAGAAATTGGGCAACAATGACATCGATAACTTGCCAGGTGGCTTCATCCTCCGTGGTGCCTTCCCAACACACTAACACCACCATTTCAGGAGCCAAATCTACTGCAGCATGTACACCCAAAAGTTCAGCTGAGAAAATTCCATCGTTGGATAAATTCTTCGGCAGTGGAACTGTGGAAGGACTGGAAGTGTGTGGTCCACGGCCTTACATAACAGAAATGTGAAGAACTGGATGGATAGAAGCTGAATCCAATTGAGCCAATTTATAAGCTACTGGCCCAAATTAGGCAACAATGTTTTAAATATGGGACGACTGTTGTTAGGGGGAAAAGTTGATTTTCCACCATATCTCAACGACGTCCACAATTGTAGCCCAAAACAGGCAATTTAGTCATAAATCATTTTATTAACTGGAGCCAATAATGAGCCCACATCCCAATTTTAAAGCTCATCTTAAAGATAGAAGTCTTCACGAAGGGGTTTATTTATAGGAGTTTCCACCTCCCATTTTTGCACTTGACCGTGGGACAATACCCTCTCACATCTTCCTTTCTAGCATTTCTCTCCTTTTTACTCCTAGAATAAATGGCAAAAACATACCCCTTAACTCAGTACCGTGTCCCACTCACATCTTCCTTCCTAGCATTTCTCTCCTTTTACTCCTAGAATAAATGGCAAAAACATACCCCTTAACTCACTACCCAAGGTGTACGTATCCTATTTACAAAATATCCACATTGCCTTTTACCCGTACTATGGGCCCATATCCCTAACGGTTTCCCTCTCCTACATCACGCTCCCACCTTCCCTCTATCTATAATAGACTTTCTTCACCGGGTGCCTATCAAAGTTTAAATATATAGACTTTTATGCTACTTATTTCTTTAAAAACATTAACTAAAGAAGGGTACAAAAAAAAAACTGAAGGTGCATCACCACACACACCTCTAAGATGGTGCTTCGCATCTCTCGTATGCCTACATTTTTTTCTTTGTTTTTTGATATCCATGTGTCTTGGCCAGCTTGCGCACACCTCGACTAATCACAGGCCAACCGACCCTACTATATTTGGTTGACAAGGTAACTCATAGGATATTAAATCCTAGGTAGATGGCCACCACGGTTCGAACTCATTCCCTCTAAACCCTTTGCTATTTACATTGGCCCTTATTGACCACTAGGTCATCCCATGATGACCTAAGTGTATAAGTGACAACAATGACAGAATGATTATTCTGCCTTTCGGAATTTTTTAAAACTAATTCTCAATTCTTGACATAAGAATTTTGTTCTCCGCGAAAAAAGAAAGAAAAAAATCAAACCAAATGTTTACTCATTTACCTTTTTTGTCATAGTGGCGGAAAATAGATATGTTCTCCTCTCACGAGGGATTTCATTCAAAATTTCATCTATTGATTTTTCGAAGTCTTCATTCAATAACCTGTCTGCCTCATCAAGAACCTGTTCAACATGCAAAACAGGCCAGTTAGTACAACATTATTAATAAAGTTAGTTTGCAATGGTACAATAATTATTTTTACACATTTCTTTTATGAGGCCAAATGTGGTCTTACTATTTAGGTCTATGGTTTACTCAGTGTTTCGTTTAGGAATTATGTTAAAGCCTAAAGCCCAACACTTCTATGGATTGACTATTGAATTTCGTTTTGGGCTTGCAAGCCAAGTACCTTTTTTAACTTATTTTTAGTCTCTCATAGTTAGGGTTAGATGGACGAATGCCTATATAAGGCCAAATCATACATTGTAGTAGATAAGATTTTGATGATTAAGGAAAAGTTGTTGAACTTTTGGTAGCCAAGAGATCCAGCTCCACTCTTTTGAAATTTCATGTTCTTTGAGTTGCATTCCAATAATATTCAAGGGCAAGATTGATCACCCTATCTCTAAGTGTTCAACTTTTATGTTAAAGAACTTCGTCTCAAAAGCTTTAATCTCAATTTACGTCTAACATAAGTTACATAACCCCTAAGAGTTGATATCAAATTGAATGAGTGTTCTAGAGTTTGAAGATCAGGGGAGTTGATCTTCAATTCTCTAGGAAGTTCGTATCAATACTTTGCAACCATACCTTTTAGTTATGGGAAAACCAATATGGGGTCTAAAAGGAGGCACAGTCAGAAATGGTGGGACAGTAGAGAGTGGTCCATTGCAATGGAGAGAATTTAACAGACACCAGCTATTGAAGTCGTGGTGAGTATATTACAAGAAATTTCAAGCTGTTGGCATATGTGGTAACAATTCTTTTAGGTCTTTCTTAGCTATGCTAGCATAGTCTCAGGATCCATCTCCGTCATCTGAGTAAACATATTTATTTTACACAAAAGCTTATTGCCTAACTCAAGGTTCAACAGTCCTCTCCCTCATACCAGAAAAACTCAAAGGTAAATGTCTACAAAACTCACCAAATATTTCAATGTGCGGAGGGAAAAACCTTTTGTATTGGTTAGATGGTCCACAAGGCGTCCAGGTGTCCCAACCTACAATGAAATAAATGATATTTTAAAAGCTAGATAAAATAAAAATAAAAATAAAAATAAAACAAGCAAGGGAAGCTAAGGAAATAATATTTTCACCTTAACATCTTAAATAAACAGCAAAACGTTAGACATCATTGTACAAATTAAAAATAGGATAAGAACATAATATTTCCACCTTAACTTCTTAAATAACCAAAATATAGATGACTTGTAAGATTTTTATAAAAATAGTGGACCTTGGATGAAAAGGTGGAGTTCCTACGGGGATCATAATCATAGTTTAACTTGGACTCATGCACCAATTTCTAAAAAGCGCTGAACATAATATATAGATAACTTGTAAGATTAAAAAAAGAAAAGAAAATAAAGTATAGAAAGATGACGTACACAGGTATTTCAGTGAATATCATATGTCTTGTTGATTCTTTATGATGTATGGTAGTTTTAAGTTTAACTACTTGCTGCAGAAGATATCAATAATAGCAGCAGCAACTTTATTTTAATTTGAACATCTATTTTAACTAATAGTATTGCCTATCAACCGGTAGATTTTGTCTATCAATATTCGGCAAATTTTGCCTAGAGACTTATGACTTTATGAAATTATTCCTCTGAGGCTATATCACTTTATTCATATTCTCCACGAGGACAAAAGGATAATGTTGAGATGAAGACATGAATTTTCACATGAACCATCACCTAAGAAGCACAAATACAAACACGAGACACAAATATGACATGACACTGACAAGGTGACACGTCATTTTTTTAAACAGGACATAGACACATCAAGGACACGTTTATTAAGATATATAATTTTTTAAGTAGGCATCATTTTTACACAAGAAGAAAGTTCAAAGCTTATGCATTTTTATGCTTAAGAAATGAGTTTGATGTATTTGGCTTTCAAAATTTATTATGTCGTCCTATATTACTACTTATGTATTTTTCTTATGCTAAACATGTGTTTGATTCATGCTCAATAAGTGTTGGATCCATATATGCTTTGTACAACTAATGTGTAACACATTTATTGAGCTAACAAGTGTCGTAGTGTCAAAGTGTGACACGTTGCCTAAAATGAAGTGTCCGTGCTTCTTATACCATCACATTACATTCACACCATCACATTACATTCACGCTGTAGCATGAAGTTCAAGAGAAGCAGAAAATATCACAGAGACTTACAACAATATGCGGCCGTTTTGCCAAGTTAATGGCTTGCTGCACCATGTCTACCCCACCGACAAGCTACAGAAGATTAAAATAGAACACTCATCATCATGATAGCTCCATGTTTACTAAATATCTGAGTATAAAAATATCAAGAGGAAACAACTAACAAGAAAAGTAAAATAGGAGAGCTCGTATCCTCAGGAAGTTTTCTTGAGCCTTTTTAAATCTTAGTCTCCAATTTTGGTAGTTATCTTATCCCACAAGCCTTTAGGTATTGAAGTAAAGAGTTCGACTAGCTTTTGTAGTTAGATAAAGTACGTGGACAAAATACAAATCTGCAATTGCCTACAGGAGCCGCACCTCCATCTAAAGAGCTCAATCAGCTCTCCCTAATCCCTATACCCTCTAATCTACCTCTGCGCTTTGTATTTGCAATTGTAAGCTACCAATGCCAACTGGACACCTAGCAGCTAACTTCTTAAAAACAAACTCCCATCTACTAACTCTCAAACAAACTGCATCTCTCGACAAAGTAAAACAATTATTCTATATGGCTGAGGCTGTAAGCTATAGCTAACTGGTCTAGATAAGTAGCGTTGTGTGAGTCTTCTTCCTCATCACAAAGGTCACATGAAGAATATATTGCAAGCATAATGTTTCCCTATATCCTCTTATAAATCTAATACTTATAGCATTTCATTTATGATATATAAAAATTACCCGTGAAATGGATGATAATGTGCACAGGTTACTTAGATTTTTCATTATTTATAAACTAGATAGTTGAATGTTGAAAACATAGTAATTTTACATCTATAACCATTTTTGTATTCTCCTATAACATAATATCATCATGATTTGTAATCACCATTGCTAGTCTGTATACCATATTAGCTGAAGCTTACCACTGCACACTTAATACCAATGCCAGACCCTAAAGCTTCAAACTGCTCAGCAATCTGAATTGCAAGCTCCCTGAAGAAAAATAATAGAAACAAATATTTGAAGTTTACAGACATAGTAAAATCTTACAAAAAAATCAATTTTTTCCCTTTTTATTTGGTTTGTTATTGGTTTTTATCTCTCTTTTTTAGGTTGTTTTCTTAAAAATTTTGTATCTTTTCATCTAGCCATTAATAGTTGTTTCTTGTTCCCAAAAAAAGAGATGTGTCTACGTCCGTATCTACAATTGGGTAACAAACCTTGTAGGAGAAAGCACACAGGCAAAAAATGCTTGAGGAGCCTCCAAAAGGGCTTGCAAAATGGGAAGAGCAAAAGCTCCAGTCTTCCCAGAACCAGTTTGTGCGAGTCCAATTAAATCCTTCCCTGCATTACGACATTCACAAGATTGAACATTATCAACACAACAAACATAAGTTTCAAAGAAAGAATAGTGAAAGCTAAGGGAAAAAAGGGAAGAAGAAGAATGGGCACCACAGATCAATATTAGACCTGCATTCTAGAATTTACAGGTAAGTCTAGCCTGTCCTACTATACCATTTAAAGAGAATGAAAGTACATATAGGTTCAAATTAATTTTTCAGTAATAAATATTATAATCAAACAAATGAATAAAGTAGTGCAATCCCCAAAACCAAAAGCAGTTTGGAAAAATTATTGGTTTTGTCCTGGTCAAGTGATGGGAACAAAAAAGCTGAGGGGGAATAAACATCTTTTAAAAAATCCAAAGAGACACTGAGACAGAACTAGCTCCCTATCTTGGAAAATTCTTGTTTTTGTGCTGGCCAAGTGATGGACTTGCCTAGGTACTAGGTTAATCTGTCGTGTACTACTTTTTAAGAATTAACACATCGCCATATTCACGTTGTGTTTTAGTCATGTCGCATGTTTGCATTTGTGCTTCTTGGCATAGGAGAACTTTGTTAGAAGGTGTCCTACACGCCAAAATTCAAAGGAAAAGCTCAGAATAATGAATTACATTCACCATTGCTAGACTTTTACCATTGAAGAAGATCTCTTGATGGATTTCGTGTTTGGGGCCTACCAAGGACCAATGAGGTAATAATTCTACTTTTTTTGTAGTTCATCGGGATACTAAATTTCTCAGCCAGTTTTGACATTTCCTATGGAAACTTCTCACAAACCTAATATTCTAGATAACTTACCATCCTTGGACAGATGACCATACCTAAGTTACAAACAGAACCCAAAACAGAGGAACTTATGTCTATTCATATTTCAAACTGGACCTCCATTTAACGGAATGAAGAACTTTTCTACTAATATTACACCAGCATTTGATATCATGAATACCAACCTTCCACATTTAACCATTGATTTAATCAATTTACCTACTTTGCTAGTAAAGCCAAGAAGCCAAAGTTCTAGTGGAGAGAACTAAGAAGTTTAATGAACAATGTGCAGCAGCTGTTACCAGAAGCATCAAAGTAAGGAATTTTCAAGGAGATATAGTTATGGCACATTACATATAAACATATTTCTCAAAGGACCCACAACAGTTAGGTGATTGTGTTGTGCTGCCTCCTAATCTAGAAACTACAAAATGCAAAGAGAACGGGCAGCAGGCAGCAGTTGGTCAAAATATGACATCCCGCAAATATAGAAGCAGAGCTGTCCGATATTATCAGCCTAAAATTTATATAGAAAGATGTTTAACTTTCATGCAACTCCAAAATTAAAATCAGTTGCAAGAAAATTTTAAAAATATATATATATATTTTTCAAGGGAGGAAATGAATTAAGTAAATGCATAAGCAAAAGAAATAACACCTTCTAGTGCATGAGGAATGGCCGCAGCCTGAATCTTAGATGGATTTTTCCAGCCTAAACTCTCGCATGCCTCCACCAATTGCTCACATATACCCAAGCTCTTAAACGTCTTTACCTCTTCTTCACTGTCTTGTTCCATTGCCACCGTTCAATCTGAAAAATAAACCAAAACAAAAACTTGAGTTAGAGACCTTGATTTGGACCTGGAGGGTTGACAGAGGACAAGTTTTTAAGATAATAGGGTCAAATATTTGTATTGTGCAACACAATAATGAATAAAAGTAAGTGCGTTCAGAGATAAGTGCTTGTTTCCTGAACATCTATATCAACGATATGGGTTTACAAAAAACATCAATTCGTGTCATGTTTCAACCCAGAAAGCACGAGTTCATCTTCAAATGCAAACAAGAACCATGTTACTCTAGTCAAGCAATAAACCTTTGTTGACACCCAAAAAAAAAAAAAATCGAACTTTCAGTAAGCATGAATTCAAAATCAATCGTCCCAATACAAATCGAAAACCAGACAGCACAAATAAAGAAACAGAAAAACAAAAGATCAGAAACCTTCAATCCCACTACTTCAAACCGCAAGGAGGACAAAGAAAAGAAAAGACGGGCGAGTGCAAACCTGCGACGCTGAGAGTGGCCTGAGGTATGGCCGCCGAGCGGTGACGGATTGCTGGTGCTGGTTGAAGCTTGAATTGAAGAGTGGCTTAATGAACTTGCAAAACCGGGAAAAGACGACGTGATGAAGGCGCGGGGATTGAAGTTTTTTTTGTCTCCTATTTAGGATTTAGGTTTATGGTTTTTTCATATTTAGAGTTTAGGGGTTAAAGTTTTTTTCTCATATTTAGGATTTAAATAATAAATATAGTGTTCGGTGCAATTTTTTCCAAAATTAAAAAATAATTTTAAGCTAATAAAATATAGGGACAGTTACTATGCCAAAAAAAAAAGTTGAAAGAAAATAACAAATTTAACATCTACATTTTAGTTTTGCAAACATAGCAAAATTTTTAGAAAAAAATAGAAGTCTAATAATAAAATGTCAAATTTACCTTCGTAGTACTAATATATCACTGATATAATATATATATATATATATTTTCTTTTTTATATATACTTGATATACCTGATTTATTACTGATATAGAACTGATATCACTGTGATATCCACTAATATAATTTATTATATGATTATATTATTTACTATTTATTGATTTACCACTTATATATAGTGCTATATATTTGATATGTCTTTGATATATTACTAATATAATACGGATATACAATTGATTTACTTATGTAACTATGATATTTACTAATACAATTTCTAACATGGGTTACCACTGATATACGTATGATGTAACTATAATTTCTACTGATATAAGTTCTTATATGACTATATAATTTACCATTGATTTACACGCTGATATAACACTTATATATCTATGATATATACTTGATATGTCTAGGGGTGTAAACAAATGAACCGAACCGACAAATTGAACCAAACCGCGTCAATTCGATTTGGTTCAGGTCGATTATTATAATTCTCGGTTCAGGTCGGTTTTGACCCGACAACCAATAATCCTAAATCTTATATTCTCTCTGCTCTCCCTTGATAAGCCGCCGCTACCCGAAGGAAGGAAGGAACGAAGAAACGAAAGAATGAAGGAACGACGTTTTAGGCGACACGAGACGGCATCATGCGGCGGCGACCTCCACGGCAGCAGACGACAACAACCT